GCTGAAGTCAGCGGCGGGTGCTGGAGGGGAGCATCTCTCCTCTGCTCCATCCCTCCTGGAGCCTCGCTGGCTGAGGAACCTGCAGCAAAACAGGCTCTGAAGGCTCCGGGATCATAACTGCTGCCCAGCAGGAAGGTGGCTGTGGTCCTGGTAATGGGCTACAAGCCAAATATTATCTGTTTCCATATCAACTGTTGTGCAATAATAATATGTTTTTAGTCTGCTAAAACAATAGTTGTGGGCATCCAAGCTTATTACATGTAACTATACACGGTCTTTGTCACTTTATCTGTTTTGGAAGGAATTTGAAACTTCATAGTTATTTCTTTTAGTTGTCACTATGCCATTAATCTATATGTTTGATGTTACTTTAGGGCATTAGTGGTTAAAATATTATCCTTTGTTTCTGATTTAGTAATTCGTTCTTAAGTTTCCTACAGGATTTTACGGTCATTTTCAAGGCACCATCTTGTTCGCAGCAGCATTGCTCAGTATGTCCAGATGCCAAAGCAGGCAGCTGTGTCTGCCATGGCACATAACCTCTGTACCTCAGCATATCCAAATGTGAAGAGATTTCTGATATCTAGCGAGTTTTATGGAAATCCTTCAAAACTTTACAAGCTACACACGGAGTAACCCACGCTAAGCTGCTTGTCAGAAAGGTAGGTGGGTAACAAATGTCAGTGTGTGTTTGAGGTTTTTCCATTCACGACAGTTCACAGATCTGTGTCAGTCCATACTTTCAGAAATGAGAGTTCTTTGGGAGTTTAAATTCTGTGGGGAGGGGGGAAAATCACTAATTTTTGCCTCCACCTGTGTCCCATTGGGAAGTGTGTTGTCATTTTCAAGGAGCCGGCTGTGGCAGCAGTTGATGTGAACATTTAGACAGTTTTTACAGAAGCCTTTGAGTCAGAAAGGGTGATCTGCTGTTCCACAAACAGGCCTCTGCCAAAACCACGAGCTCTTCAAGGCCTTCTGGTGAAAAACTGCCATATTTAGGTGAACAAATGAACTAAATTTCAGTGGTTGGTTCCTTTTCAGATCATACTGTGTTTGTATGTGCATATAAACACTAAGTGCCATAACACTGTTGGATTCTTGGATGTTATAATTAGCTCCCTTTTTAAAGTGGTGCAACTTGGAGGGAGGGAATGGAGAGTAGATGACAACCCTGTAAATTACTGTTATTGTGAGGTTTTTTATTTCCTTTCTGAAAGGACATAAAATTTCTGCACTTCTGAATTCCAGAGCTGTCTCCAAACTCACAGGAGTGCAGACAGGCTGGGATTAGAACTGCAAAAGACATTTGTAAAACCTACTTCAAAATCATGCTACTGACAATTAAATAAGTTGATAATCTTCTAGGAACCTTTTCTTAAATTGGCATCACCAAAAGGCAAGTGGATGGTTTTTATAAATCTCTCAGGACACCATGGTATGCTTTTCTTTAACTTATCTTACCTGATTTCCAAAGCAGGGTAATGCTGAGTTATGTCATAAGTTATCAGGTTTTTGAACTTGCCTCTGTACCAAAACAAACAGAGGCTTTGATAACTGTGAGCCTTTGTTCCAGCCACGCCAGCTCCAGGTTTCCTAAAACAGTTTAACTTGTTGGAAGGCCTAGCTAAAAACACTGCCAGCCCCGACCTGATTTCCTGTTCTGTCACTTACACAGCATTTCTGGTCAGTTCCCCCCGTCTCCAAACAAACGTTCTAGGTTGGTTATGATCACACCCTGTCATCGCTCCAGAACCACGGTGACTGATGCAAGATTGGCCATTTCCTGATGTTCTCAGGAAAACAGTGGTGGTGTGAGCACGTGCTGATGTGCTGCGTCACCAGTGGGCGCAGTGCTTCACACTGACGGTGGCACTGGGATCACACAGCGCTGCAGGGCAGGGGATTTACAATAACTGAAGTAACAAAGGTGGTTTTGTCTTTTATGACTAGATCTCTTTTTTTTTTTTTTTTTTTTTTTTTCCCCTGTAACAAACTCATGCTCTTTTTTTACAAAATGCTGCATGGGAAAGTAAAAAAAATTTTGCCTTTTTTGAAAACTTGTATTTATCAATCGGTGTCATTCTATCTGTACAATATTTTGACTTAATCTTTTGTTTACAGTATTACTATAAAATGCTAAAACTCTTTCAGTGTGCAGAGTTATTTGGGGTTATTTTCTGTAAAGACCTTGGGAAAGGTTTCTGTAGTTGAGGAAAGCTTGCTGTGCCAAGATGGCTCCCGTCTTTCTAACAGTTCTTCATGTGCTGTGACAGGATCTGAACGTCCCCCCACCAGCCTGATTTTTAAGCTGATGATAATAGCGAGGAGTCAAGTGCAATAATCAACTAAAACTCCCCTCTCGTTGAAGCAGTTTGCTCAGGTAAAGAAACAATCAGTTGTTCAGGTTGCAGTTATTATTTATGAAAGAAGTTTTTTTTAAAAAAAAAAAAGAAAAACATGTAATGAAGTCTTTAGCACCATCTGGAGAGGAACTGAACACGTTAAGAATTACTGCTGCAGCACATGTAATCTGTCGTGCTGAGTGGGAGTCTGACACCGACAGCAAACGCAGCAGCAGTGCCTGGTTCACAGTTCCTGGTTCACAGTTCCTGGTCCCAGCACACACGGTTTATTTGCTGTGTTTCCCTGACATAGCATGTATTAAAACTCCCAAACGTGGAGTAAGTGAAGCAGCTCTGTCCTCTGAGGATGCTCCCTCTGTTCTTGAAGCCAGTAGAAGTTTGCTCTTGTGTTCAGCTGGGACACAGCTCAGTATTTTCAGAAATCTCATTTCCACTGTGTTGAGTCGTGGCACCATTGTAGGTGATTCCACAGCCCCCATTATTTCAGGAATTCCTTCATTCTTCAAAGTTTTCTTTCTTTAGTGCTCATTCCTCAGGTGCACAGGACGATAACTCCTCAGGTCCATGCTGCTTTTGGGTAACTGTAGAGCTAATGGGGTCAAAACCAAAGATGGTAACTATTTTATGGGCTGTAGAATTCACCTTCCACACACACTATTCAGGATGCAAAGAAGGTGCTTTGGAGAGTATGGAATATCCTCTATGAAAAGGCATCAATAATGTTTCAGAGTTGGTAATTTAATGCAGTAACACCCCCTTCCAGCTTTCTCTGACTCCTGTCGCTACTGTGTAATAAATGACAGAGGTGAGTGACTCTGCAGTCATTTAGTTTTCATGGTTTAGTATGAAAAATATGCTGGGCACGTGGTTTAGGTAGGGTTACTTGATTTCAGCTTTGTTTTTAGAGCTTGGCAAAGCATGACAGAAAAGAGACATTGAGCAATGCACTGTACCTACTGGTTATGGTATGCAGCTCATAGTGCTGAAAATAATTAGAGTAACATTAGAGGCAGTAGCAATGAGCCTGCCTCAAAAACTTTAAAAACTGGAGCCTAAAGCATCAATATCAGCAAAAGAAAAGCAATTTATAAGAGAGAACTATAGCCCTCTGCTAGAGCATTAGAGGCAGGAGCACTGAGCCTGCCTCAAAAACTATTTAAAAACTGGAGCCTAAAGCGTCAATATCAGCAAAAGAAAAGCAGTTTATAAGAGAGAACTATAGCCCTCTGCTAGAAATAGCACCAGGGGAAGGAACAGGCCCGGTGTTTGGGCTCGGCCCCGTGTGGCACCTGAGGTGCAGATGAAACGCAACGAGTATTCTGTTGTGATGCTTTCACCCCGGGGTGACCTGTACCTACAGCCTTCCCCACACCACAGCCACCTACCCTGCCACGATGTCCTGGCTCAACCATGTGCCTGGCCTCCTGCCGCACTAACTCCTCACAGTGCTGCTGGGACAATCCCTCCTCTTCTTCCTCCTCCCTACGCTGCTGCTGCTCCTCCTGCTCACGTAAGCGCTGCTCTGTCACCTGGGCACAGAGCCGGGGCTGTTACAGTGAGATCAGGCACAGACTGGGCACTGTCAGCAGCTGTGCACATCTGGAGAGAGTACGGTACCTGCGCCTCCAGCTCCTGCCTGCGGGCTGTCTTCAGTTCTTCCTCCTGCTCCTTCTCGCGCCTCGACAGTTCTTTTGCCTCTTCCAGCTCTTTAATCAGCTGCTCTCGATACCTTATAGACTCTTCTTGGGCTCGTCTGTTTAACTCCATCTTCTCTTGGATCTGGCGCTGTCTGCCTGCAAGAACCTTTGTGAAGCAAGAGGATTCGGGGAGAAGACAAGTCAAGAAAGGGGCCAGGCTTAGAAGCAGAACTGGGGAAATCTCAGTGTAGACAGTTAAACAGTCCCCAGAAAATGTATTGGACAAGCAGAATGCTGCCCTGGGTACTGAAGGCTGTAACCCTCTGGAGGGTCACAGCTGGAACAACAGCTTCATCAAACCAACAGAGACACCTCATCAAAAAAGGTCATCACCTCATTCATCAGGCGATCTCTGGCTGCCTTCTCTCTTTCCCATTCTTCTTCCCTCTTCTCCCACACTTTTTTAGCTTCTTCTCTAAAGGAGAGAGGAAGAATTATCTCTAAGGTTACTACTTACAGTTTAAAAACTGGTCAGCAGGAGGTAACATCCCAAAGGAAACGCCGGCCTGGAGCAGGACTCCTTAGATGCACCGCTCTGCCCCAGGCACAGAAGGGCCCCTCAGGAGGAAGCTCCACTCTTAACAAGTCCTACACTGAAACCAAAACACAGCTATTCTAACTACTAAGAAGAAAATTAACTCTATCCTAGCAAAACCAGGCCACAAGGACACTACTTCACAGGGAGGGTGGGTAGTTCAGGCATTGCTGGAAAAGCTGCTCATCTCTCTGCAACAAAACCTTTAAGTAAAACTTGCTGGTAGCACACGCCCTCCTGTCATTAGTGACAATGCTCTCTGAGCTGGGGAGAGTTTAAGGAGGAATGAGGAACCTGAGGCAGCTTTTTATCTCCAAGCTCTGAGATAAAAAAGGCAACAATCTGTAGGTTTTGGAGTCACTTAGACTAAACCCTTCCACAGCAGTAATGCAGAACCATTGAAAGTTGGTTACAAAGTACTTATAATTAAAAGGTAATTCTTGCTGTCTCTGCATTACTACCTTTTTTTGTTATCAAAGCTCTTGCATTAGAGCTAATGTCACAGAAATTATGGAGTAGGTTTTGGGCTGAGGTAATTTAAAAAAACAGCCTCAGGTTTTGATTGTCCTGGCAGAAAAGCTTTGGGTCTGTCCGCCTAGTGAGGTACCAGCACAGGGAAGGGAGCAGCAGAGCTCACTTCTTCTGCAGTGCTGCTGGAGCTGTGAGGCCAACCAGACATCGCTTCCTTACATCTGCTGTCAAAGCCTATGACAGCACGGAGCATGAATGGAGCTCTGCCAACCAGGCAGGAATATTCACGAGTATGGTCTCTAGGTGATGCTCAGAGGTGGGCAGACTCACCTAAAAATAGTCTCCAGCTCTGCCTCCCTCTGCCTTTCTAACTGGAGCTGCTCCTCAATGACACGTTTCATCCAGGCAACATCGGCAACAGCTCGTTCTCGCCGTGCAGACTGTTGGCGCTGATCCTCATCTTCTTTCTCGAGGAGGGTGAGTAAGATTTGCCTGTCTATCTCCTGGAGAAAAACCACAAGATTAACAACTATCCACCAGGCTTCCAGCCTGTGTGCAGGGCTAATCTCTAAATTATTGGTGACGTAGTGTCACGGCTGTGCTCAGGAAGACAGTCTGTCTGCTGGCTTCCCCACCATCTTTTTGCTCTGCCCCTCTTCACAAGCCAGAAGGGGCTTCCTAACTAATTAGATATCAGAGGCAGACACATAAACAAGACAAAAAGATCAAGTTTCTTCAGCGTTCAGTATCTATACCATATAAATCAAGGGGTATTTCCTCTTACCAGCTCCTCTTGTATCTGCTGGGCTCGTCTCTTTAATTGTGCATTCCACTGCTGCCTCAAAAAGCGACTGAAGGAGGAAAAAAAGAAAACATTCAAACTGACTCCAAAGCCCTACGTTGTTACACACCAGCACTCAAGAAGGTACACCCATGACAATGTAACTTACAGGCACCACAGGTACCTGCAACTGCTGATATGAATAAAAAGAATAACGGCACCGCTGCGTTTGCTCCTTGGCTGTTCTGGGCACTTCCATCAAAAACGAAATATCTACAACCACCACTGATACCTGAGATATCTCCCTGTGCCCCACGTACTGTCAGAGGAGCAGATTCTACCCAAGTCCTACTGAAACAAGCTACACTGGATCTCATACCCAAGCTCGATCTTCTTCCGGTACTCTTCCATTTGTTTCCTTTCTTCTTCCAAGTTCTCCAGCTCCCACTGCTGCTTTAATAAATTCTCTTGTTCTTTTTTCAGCTTTGTTGCCTAAAAGGAAAAAAAACAACCACCAAGAAAGAGTATGTTAGAGAGCTAGGACATCCCCGAGAGAGTCTGTACCAGAGTTTGTATCCCATTGTGCTCCTCTGCAAGCAGTCAAAATCCTCATTGCACTAAATATTCCACATTAATTTAATCCATGGCTCAGTGGCTCACAGCTCGAGAGACACTGTGAGGAACTCCAACTGAAGAAGCCTTTGACCCAACCCTGTCACACTGAGAAGTTTCTATAAATCTTGTTTTCCTCTGGTGCAGCACGGAAGGGTGCTCACATTTCAAGAGGAGCAAACAAAAGCTACTGGAATGCAGTTAAACTGCCGGTGTGCAGGGGAGAAGCTCTACACTGCTAACAGAAATGATGTCACAGGTAACTTTGTTCTAGATTTAATCTGTGTAAACCTGGAGGGAAGAGGTCAGGTCAGTGTTGCTGTATTTCCAAGTAGAACCAAAAAAATTCCTTCTCAGATGAGGAGCAACTAAGGATTACCTCATTCTCCTGTAATTTCAGTTCTTCTATTTGTTGAAGCAACATCTCCGCTTGCTTCTTCTGTTCCAGCCGACGCTTCTCTTCCTCTCGTCTCATTCTTTCCAGCGCTTCCCTTCGAGCCCTTTCATATTTGTTTTCATAACATTTTTTCTCTTCAACTTCAGTTGCTTCTTGCTTTCCAAGCCAAAAGAAAACACAACATTTAAGGTTAGGCTAATGCAAAGAAACAGGAAATCCACAAATCAAACTCCTCCAAGCTGACATGTATTGGGAAAATATGGAACAAAATACACTAGGAAGGAACACAAGGACAAAGCCAGACTATCTGCTGACCAGCCCTGAAATGGTCACCAGCCCAGCCCCAGGACTCTGTGCAGGTCTGATGTGAAGCCCAGGTGATCTCACAGATACACCCAGATTTTCCTGTTACAACATAAGATTTTCTAGGAGATGGATACCATGTACTTGTAAGACAGGAACGATGGCTGTTTGTTAAAAGCATCCTTCCTGTTGGCAGCCCCTGTCACTCTGCGGGCACCACAACTCCCCATCGCTACAGGAACGAGCACGGTGACCTCAGTCGCTGTTTGGTTCAAGACTGGTGTGAGGAAAACGAGCAAACAGCCAGCTCCTACTCCGTACACAGCCGAGCCATGTCTAACAGCAAGGCCAGTTGTCACCAGCCGGGTCAAAAGGCACAGAGTGTCACACCTCCACCCACTCATGCATTTCAGGAGTCTGCCCTATTGACCGGTAACACCCCATGTACCTTGGCTTTCTGCGTTAGCTCATCACCCCAGGCCTCCATCACGTGCTTCCTGGGCAGCTCTGACTCCACCTGTAGATGACAACAGGTGCCATTAGTGCCAGAGCCTCTCCTGTCCCCCGGGATCTGGACAGACTCTCTAGAGCTCCTCCTGGCTCAGCCATAGTCCTGAAGTCCCAGCAGGATCTGCTTCTGCAGAGGTGGGCTCATTTGGGTGTCCTCAGTGCCCACCAGGTCACACGCTGAAGGTCAGTGTTAGTTCTGGGAAACACGACAGTGACACTGAAACCAGAGCTGTGGCAGAGAGGGCAGCAGGTCGGCAGAATAAGGAAGCACCTGCAGGGCAGGTACAGCTTTAAAAAGCACCTGAGATATTTACATCACAGGTGCTGAAAATCTGCTCTCAGCATCAGAACAGATTTCTGACTGTTTCTGAAAAATACCAGCTTTGAGGGGACTTCTTACACAGTCAAGACATTTGACTTCTTTGCCTGTTGCTGATCAGAACTCGGGACAATTGCTGTGATTCAGAATGAATGAAACAGGAGATATCTGATGACATTCAAGTTAAAAACTGGTTTAACAAAAGCAAGGCAGCAGAGATTGAAAAGGAAGACATGGACCTGTTGGAGCAGGTCCAGAGGAGGCCACAAAAATGATCAGATGGATGGAACAGCTCTGCTGTGAGGACAGGCTGAGAGAGTTGGGGCTGTTCAGGAGAAGAGAAGGCTCTGGGGAGACCCTGTTGCAGCCTTTCAGTACTTAAAGGGGCCTATGAGAACAATGGGGACAGAGTTTTTAGCAGGGCCTGTAGCAGTAGGATGAGGGGTGATGGTTTTAAACTAAAAGAGGGGAGATGTAGACTAGTTATAAGGAAGAAATTTCTTACACTGAGGACAGTGAGACCAGGTTGCCCAGAGAGGTGGTAGAAGCCCCATCCCTGGAAACATTCCAGGTCAGGTTGGATGGGCTCTGAGCAACCTGGTCTGGTTGGAGATGTCCCTGTCACTACAGGGGGTTGGACTGGATGAGCTTTAAAGGTCCCTTCAACCCAAACCAGCCTGTGATTCTGTGGAAGCGATCTCACCTCCCGGAGCTCAGCGTTGTTTTTCTTCCAGTGCTCATACAGCAGCTGCTCAGCGACCTGGAAACACGGGGGTTGGATTATAGCAGAAAACAGAAGGATTCGAGATACCGAACCCTTCTGCCCAGCCCCGCAAGTGCCATTCGCACCCCAAAACCCAGGAGCGGCCCGA